TGGGCCAGAATGAGCCGTTCTGAATTCGGAACAGGCCGTTCTGGCCCCCTTCTGATTCCTATAAATAGAAGCCTCGGGCACAGTTCTCAGGACGGCCAGAGAAATTTCGAATAAGACTCCTTTGAGCACGAAAATTCTCTATCTCTCTCCCTTCTACTGTATTTCTTGAGATTTGTGTCGCATCTCTATCTTCTCTCTCCCTCCTATTGTATTTCTTGAGATTTGTGAGACATACTGTAGTGTGAAAGGTAGCCACAAAGCACCTTCTCCATATTTGAAGATTCAATAAAGCTTGTTCAAGAGGTATTTCAGTCAATCTTCTTCTCTTCCTTTTATTCCTCATCTTTATCTCTTTTTTTGTTATAATAAACGTCATAATGTAGATATTTTAGGGTTAATCGCTTAATTTATATTTTAAGCATGTAAATAAACATTAATAAAGGGGATTCAATATTTAATTTATTAAATCTTATCGTGTTAATTTCATCATAGGGTACCAATTAAGGGCGTTGTAGGGGTGCTTAATACCTTCTCTACACATAACTGACCCCCGTACTCAATTCTGGTTATCAAGGCCATTATTGGACTTTTGAAAACCTTTTCTTTTTCCAATGTTTTGAGTAAAACATTGGTGGCGACTCCATGAACCTATTTTCAAAACCATTAATTAAGGATTAGTTTGGTGTCCGGGCATTCCTTAATTGATGAGATTTTCAAAAGGATGTCTAAACCATTAGTCGCAAGATTGAAAAATTTTGGGTTGCGACACTTAATAGGTGTCTGAGTGTGAATCACTAACAGCAGGTGGTTGTGTGGCGAAGTGATTGTATCAGTAGGTAGCTAAAGTTGTAACTTAAACAACAATTGGTTGTGATAGTGGAAAATCTCACAAGTTTGTGTGAGGATGGGATGTAGCCCAAATTGGGGTGAACCAGTATAAAAACTCTATGTGAAATCTCTCTAGCTCTATCCTCTTAGTTGTTTTATTCACCGTATTGCATATTACATATATTGTTGTACAATCTGTTCAAAAAATAACTTGCTCAGAAACTAGTTTCATAAATTAACTTAAGTTTTGAACGTCCAGAAGGTTGCCTTCAAAAGGATAGTTTTTCATAAAGAACTGATTTTGAAAAGAAAAAAAAAATATATATATATATATATATA